TGTGTGTGTGTGTGTATATATATATATACACACACACACACACACACACACACACATATATATATATATATATATACACACACACACACAAAACAAATTGGGCTTGGTTTTCTGAGAAATCACTGTTGAATTTACCTGGTTAATGTGTATTCCCTGAGTCCTGAGTGAAGATTCATGGCAGAGAAAGTTCCAATGCAGCCCCGAAGTCGTTTGTCTCGGCCTGTCTTCCATGTCACAAAGAGTGGGCTGAAAATGCATAACACAAAAGTTTCAAATAATTCTTGCTAAGAAAAATGAATTAAAATACAAAAAATATGACTGCATTTGTAATGAAAAATCAATTTATGCCTTCTTCGGCTTTCAATGCCTCCTTTTCAATGAACTAATATTAAAAATTACAATCTGCTTTCCTTCTTTTATACTTTCCAAAACCTTAGAAGTACTTAAAATGAAAGGTTACATTGTTTTTACCTGCTTCCTTTCTGTGCAAGAAGAGAGAAAATTGCTTCTTTTGGGGGCAGGACTTGGCAATGTTTGGATGACCTAAATCAGGTTATGTAGACAGCATAATCCTATTGATTCTTCTGACGTATTCAAATGAAGGGCAGGGAATCTGAGGCCCAAACAAATTTTGCTAAATGTCAGCTACCAACTTTACTGTTCCTTTATCAGCCATATTGTTGACCGCTTTTATTTAGCAACATCTGAAAGGCCACAGGTTTCCTGCTGTTCTGCTAGTCACTTTTAATAACTTTGGTAATGGTTTAGTACTTGACTGATGTTCCAGTCCAGAAGCAAGATTTTATGATGGCTCTTTCCTCAAGACAACAGGTTCCAGAAGTGTTGGGAGTATGATGTTCTTCCTCATGGAAGCCATCTTATCCTCAATGTTCATTTCATTGTCTGTATTGTTCACATTGGGGAGCCAGTTTGCTGTAGTGGTTAAGACATCAGGCTAGAAACCAGGATCAATATTACAAGAATTTTTGTTACTCTGGATGTAAAATACCACATTAAAAAATTCTGATCAGACAATCAAATTGCATATCTAAGAGCACTTTAGACTCCATGCAGATAAATAAACTTAAGCTCAATTACCACAGAAGAGTTGGACAACTCACTTACCGGTAACTGCTGCCAGGAAAAGTATCTGTTCTTGGACAATAAGCTCTTTTGTCTAGAATATCAGCTTTGAACTGGGGGAAGGGATACTTGATATTGGTGTGAGTCTGAAAAAAGGTACTGTTGTTTTCATATTAAATTTAATAGGTAGATTCCTTAAAGCAATAACACTTTTTCACATTCACTGGATAGCCTGAAAATATTGGACTTTTTATATTAATAGAGAGAAATAAGGGCAGGAATGCTTGTAAAACATTTTCAAAGTTTGCAGTCCTGATGTACCAATTCCCTAAAGACTGGAAACAAACCTTTTGTATTTCATTTCCTTTTTTACACTTTATGTTTACAGACATAGCTTCAGCTTGGAATTACCAGTAGTGTTAAAACTTAAATAGGTCACTTTTTAAGTCAGGTACAATGAGCAAATTACAGCAAATTACACTTGTATTTTAGTTTGAGCTTGAACATTGTATAAAATACTAAATTATCACTGGTGAGAAAGAATCTGAAAGCTCACATGAAAAGAAAAAGGTGCATCCAAGCCTGAAATTTTTGGGTCTATTGTCTATTGTGACAATTCGCCACAACCAACTTGCCACAGCCAACTCGCTGCAGTACAAGAGTTACACTAATATTAAAGAAATGGTGGAATAAAATGATTAAATAAAAGATGGAAAAGGAGGGACAGAATGAAATGTGAATTAAAACATGTTTTTATTTATTTCAAATAATTAAATTGAATTGTTAAAGTATCCCATGGAAAGTTGTTCTGTGGTGAGTTGGCTGTGGTGAGTTGGTTACGGCAAGCTGTCCCAGTCTGGACATTTTTCTGACTTCTTGAGTCTTGAACTTTTCTTAAAGGTAATTTGAAAACTCTGAATGTATCCAATTATTAGTAAATGTAGAATTGGAATTGCTTAAGTAAATGTTATATAGGTTATGTTTTCAACATCTAAGCCCAATGCAAAGTGCTATTTTTGATTTATAAAATCCTAAATAATTTGATTCTGTACTTTGGTGAAGTTCTCTGACTATGCCTTTTATAATGACCAATAAGATCCTGTTTCAAGAGTCATGTTATGTGGGTGCTAAATGTCATGGACCCACAGCATTTTGTACTAATTTCCGCAGTACAGGTTGTTTAACAGTCTTATCTTTGCTATCAATATTTTTTGAAATAAAGCCTTTTAACACATTTTCTGCTAATGTATTTATTTGTATTATTATTTTGTGTTGTTTGCTTAATCAAGCATATACTAAATGCTTCTACTACCATGTTATTTGTTTTTTTCTAATTTGTTTATATTTAAGTTTAATAAAGTAACCTTCTAACAGCAATTGTTTTCTGTGTCATATGAAGCCTGCACAAACAACCAAAATATGCTTTCACAATGTCTAATACTTAGTTGGCCTGCATAATAAAAGTTTTATAACAATCTGACTCTGTTTCAAGTGTTCTCACACATAAATGCTAAACAGTAATATGTCATGGAACTCAAAAAATAAGCCACAATTATAGGCAAGTATAAATGAATTAATGCATACATACTTTTATCTCTAGTTCTCTTTTCTATGATGTCATACAGTACTGCCAGAAACCATATTTAAGGACCAAACTAAATACTGTATGACAGATCTTGCAGAAATGAAGAAAATATGTATAATATGCTTTTTGAAGGAATTCCATTCTTTTTAGCGGGATTCTCGTACTTTTTTTTTCTCATTATGTTTCTAATTTAGACTGTTCTTCCATGATGGCTATTTATCCTAAGAGAACAGATAATTGGACCTGCTGCAGTGTTAAAGTGTCCTCTCAATCAAATCTAAATAAATTCTTCAAGAATTTTTTATGAAGAAATTCTAAAGCCAGGATAATGTTATGCCTAATTTAGATTAAATTTAAGTTTATCTAATTCTTAATCAGGATCATACAGTAGTTTTGGTACCATTTGCTTCTAATTTGTTGGCTATGCATATTCATGCATCTATCAATTCTGTGTTTTTAATTTTATATTAGTCTAATGTCCAACATGTTTATCAAAAACAGTCCAACATGGGTTTGTCAAAAACAGATCATGCCAGACTAATCTTATTGCATTCTTTGACAAAGTGACAAAATTAGTGGATCAGAGGAATGCTGTCGATATAGTTTACTTGGACTTCAGTAAGGCGTTTGATATGGTAGACTATAACCTACTATTAGATAAAGTAGAAGAATGTGGGTTGGACAGCATCACCACCAGATGGATTCGTAACTGGCTGACCAACCGCACTCAACGTGTAGTCCTCAATGGAACTGCATCCACGTGGACGGAAGTATGCAGTAGAGTACCCCAAGGCTCTGTTTTAGGCCCAATACTCTTCAACATCTTCATCAATGATTTGGATGAGGGAATAAATAGGCAACTCATCAAATTTGCAGATGACACCAAGCTGGCAGGAATAGCCAACACTCCAGAAGATAGGCTAAAGATACAGAAGGATCTTGACAAACTTGAACATTGGGCATTATCTAATAAAATGAAATTCAATGGTGAAAAGAGTAAGGTTCTACATTTAGGCAAGAAAAATGAAATGCACAGGTACAGTATAGGTGATACCTTGCTCAATAGTAGTAACTGTAAGAAGGATCTTGGAGTCCTAGTGGACAACCACTTAAATATGAGCCAGCAGTGTGCAGCAGCTGCCAAAAAAGCCAACACAGTTCTAGGCTACATAAACAGAGGGATTGAATCAAGATCATGTGAAGTATTCATACCACTTTATAATGCCTTGGTAAGGCCACACTTGGAATATTGCATTCAGTTTTGGTTGCCACCATGTAGAAAAGATGTGGAGACTCTAGAAAGAGTGCAGAGAAGAGCGACAAAGATGATTAGAGGACTGGAGACTAAAACATAGGAAGAACGGTTGCAGGAACTGGGTATATTTAGTTTAATGAAAACAAGGACTAGGGGAGACATGATAGCACTGTTCCAATATCTCAGGGGTTGCCACAAAGAAGAGGGAGTCAAACTACTCTCCAAGGCACCTGAGGGTAGAACAAGAAGCAATGGGTGGAAACTAATCAAGGAGAGAAGCAACTTAGAACTAAGGAGAAATTTCCTGACTAACTGAACAATTAATCAGTGGAACAGCTTGCCTCCAGAAGTTGTGAATGCCCCAACACTGGAAGTCTTTAAGAAGATGTTGGATAGATATTTGTCTGAAACAGTATAGAGTTTCCAGCCTAGGCAGGGGGTTGAACTAGAAGACCTCCAAGGTCCCTTCCAACTCTGCTATTGTATTGTATTGTATAATGTGCTTTTAAATAAATCTTAACTGTTCTCCTCTGTATTACCTCCTGATCTAGTTTCTGAGTTCTTTAGTATGCTACACTTCTGTTGTTATCCAATGATTAAGAAAATCAATGGAATTAAACTAGCTGTAATAAGTATTTCAGATCTAAATCTAAAGCTCATTCTAGCTATCTAGTACAGAATTTGTTTCTATTTGTTTCTTTGTTTCTATTTTTAACAACATGGCTAAATATGCTACAAAAACCTAGTTTGCTAGACAATTAATTTAAGCATACAATAATCTGGATGAAAATTAACGTTGCCATGTCTATCTAAAAAATAAGCCTGCTGTTCCATTTCTTTATCTGAACAGCAAATAATCTATTAACATTTATCTTAAATGTAAATGTTTAAATCAGCTCTTACAAATTGTAATGTTATTGTTACATAAACTATTTTTAAATATGAGCCTGAAATCCTTGATAACAACAGTAACCCCATGCTCTTTTTAGCCTCTCTGCTTAGAATTTCTTTAGATTTAGACTTATTCATACAAAGGGAACAAAGCATGGTCAGAAATAGAGATGATTTTTTTCTCTCTCCAAAAACTGGTATTGACTACAGTACATCACTGACTTTATGTTTTTGGTGTTCCAAGCTGGAAGCCAAGAATACTGCTAGGATTGTTAGCCTCTGGTACAACATTTATAAATTCTCAGTGCCATGGATTGAACAGATACACAGAAATCACTCATATATTTACAAAAAACGGGGTTAAAAGAAATAAAAAACTGCATCTTTTGTAAATAAGCTAACTTTAAAATATAGGCATTGAACATAGCTATG